CCCTTCCCATGCCTGAGACTCACAAGATCGTGTTAAAATGAAAGCAAGGAAGAAGAGAAAGGAGATTTTCACTGYGATTCCTCAAAACACTGAGCCTCATTCGCAATTTCAGTTTGGCTCAGCTCTGAAATCCAAGGTCAGGAAAACACTCCTTCCTGTGGATCACATCTCAGTCAAGCAGCGAAGGTGAGGCTGAGCTCACAGATGGGAGCCAAAGGCCAGACACTGATTTTCACACCACTGCACAGGCRCCGGGTCCCAGAGGCCATTCCAGGCCAACTCCCTGCACAAATGACCCCAATTTTCAGAGGTTAATCCCAGAGAGGAGAAACCCAGCGAACACAGAGCAAGTCCTCAGTGACCTTAACAGGAATCCCCTGATTTGAAATCCACAGCTTTCCTTGGGAAGTCGGTTTTAAGAGCTGAAGYACTTTAAAAACAAACCCAGAGAGACCCAGCAGACAGCCAGACTACCAGGCAGCACGGCCAGGAGAGCTCCAGCAATGGATTATTTTTAACAAACCCACAGATTAGGCACTCACAGCTGCTGTGCATCCTGMGAGGCAGGAAACCCTCTCCCCACTGCCTGGGGAGGTGCAGAGTGACCGGGCGGTGGGAGATCCTTCCTCCAGGTGAGGAGCAGCCTGCTCCGGGGACAGAGTGGGAGGGACGCGGGGGGATCACAGCGCCCATGGGTGACCTGCGGGGACCTGGGGACGGGACCCCGGGCCGTGGCCGAGCGGGGGGCTCGGGACCCCCTGTCCAGGCTGGAGTGGGACATGGGGAAGGGGGATACGGAGAAGGGAGACGGAACCCTCTGCCCCGACCAGACGGGGATGCAGGGAGGGGAACAGAACCGCGGCCCAAGGTGGGGGACAGGGAAGGGGAGCGGGACCCTCGGGCCCAGCGGGATGGCGGGCAGGGGAATGGGGTCACGGGTAAGGGGGACAGGAGCCCGGCCCAGGGCGGGGGATGGGGATGGGGATGTGGAGCGGAACCCGCGGCTCCGGGCCGGGCGCGGTGCCGGGCAGGGGGTCCCAGGCCGCCCTCAGGGCTGGGGGGTCGCGGCCGCCTCACACCCCCTGGTCCCGCCCCCTCGCTCTGATTGGTCGCGGCGCGGAGGAGCGGCGCCGCCATTGGCCAGCGGCGCTTCAGTCAGTGCCACGTCCCGGCGTGCGGCGCACGGAGGGGCCGGGCCGGGCCGCGCCGAGTCGGGGGTGCCGCCCGCGCCCCGCGCCCACCTGGAAGGGGTTRATGTCCACCGGGTCGGCGAACGGGTTGGTGTCGAAGCCCGACATGGGCGCGGTCCGCTCCGCTCCGCTCCCGCCGCCGCCGCTCCTGGCGCTTCCGGGGCACCCGCGTGACCGGGAGCCGCGTGACGTCACGGCGGCGCGCACAGCTCGCGCGGGGTTAACCCTATGGGCGTGGCCGCGTGACGTCACAGCGGCGCTTATAGCCGGCGGGGGCTGAGGGGGGAAGGGAAGGGAGGGGGGCAGGCCCTGCCCGGCCGAGCCATGGCGGAGATCCGGGGTGAGCGGGCACGGGGCACACACCGACCCTGGGACGGGCCACGGGGATGGGGCCTCTCCTCCGGGACCCCCCACACTGACGGGGCGGACAGCCCGTGACTCCTGCCCCTCAGCCCAAGCACCCCCACATCGCCGTGTGATGGYTGGAAATCGCGCCCCCGTACACTCTCCCCTCCCAAACTCGTGGTTCCCTCTCTCCCTTACACCCTCTCACCCTGCCCCGGAGCTTTTGGGGGTTCCCGGAAGGATTTTGGGGGGTTCTCTCTGTGCCCATCTAACATATGACTTCCCTCCTGCAGTGTTCCCYCTCTCCTGCGTGGTGCAGAACTATTCCTGGGGCAAGGTAGGCCTGGAGAGTGAGGTGGCCAAGCTGCTGGCCAGTGGTGACCCTCTGGTCCAGATCCATCCTGACCAGCCCTACGCTGAGGTGAGTGTGTCTGTGTGTCCATTGTGTGTCTGTCCCGTCTGTGTGTCCGTCCGTGCGTTCATCCCACCCGGCTGTGTCCTGTGGGGATGCTGACCCCCAGCTGTCCCCTGTCCCCAATGGCCCCGGGGGTGCCTGGGTTGGAGAGAAGCCCAGCGTGACTCAGCCCCCGAGGGAGCTGCCAAGGATCACCTCCGGGGCTGGGCAGCCTCTGGAAAAGCCCAATCATGGGTGTTGGCTGCCCGGCTCACGGTGCCCTCTGTGTGTTTGGCAGCTGTGGATGGGCACGCACCCGCGGGGCGATGCCCTCATCCGGGATAACCGCATCCCCCAAAAGACCCTGGGCCAGTGGATCGCCGACAACCCCGCCTGCCTGGGGGCCAAGGTGAAGGACGCCTTCCAGGGCCGCCTGCCCTTCCTGTTCAAGGTTCTCTCAGTCAACACTGCCCTGTCTGTCCAGGCGCACCCCAACAAGGTAGGGAGAGCCCCTGGGCRTGGGCAGCCCGGCTGGGCCCCGTGTCCCTGGGGAGGTCACCCAGCTCCTCTCCCCTCTCTCCAGGAGCTGGCAGCAAAGCTCCACGCCCAGTTCCCTGAGCACTATCCTGATGCCAACCACAAACCCGAAATGGCCATCGCCCTCACCCCCTTCGAGGGCATGTGTGGCTTCCGGCCTGTGGAGGAGATTGTCTCCTTCCTCCAGAGTAAGGATGGAGGCTGCATGGGCACACCCTGGACTGGGCATGTGGCTCTCTTGGGATCGGGTTCAGGGTGGGGATGAGGGCCGTGCTCCCTTGGGATTGGGCTCAGGGTGGGGATGGTGCTCCTTTGGGATTAGGCTCAGGGTGGGGATGGTGGCCGTGCTCCCATGGGACAGGGTTTTAAGGGGTGGGGATGATGGCTGTACTCCCTTGGGACAGGGTTTAGGGTGTGGGGATGATGGCTGTGCTCCCTTGGGGTAGGATTTGGGGGGTGTGGATGGGGTCTGTACTTCCTTGGGATGGAGTTTGGGGGTGTGGATGGGGTCTGTACTCCCCTGGGATTGAGTTTGGGGTAAGGCGGCGCTCCCCAGGGATGGGATTTGGTTGGGATGGTGACTGTGCTGTGCTCCTGTGGGACGGGGCTGCTGGTTCTGACCAGGGGGTGCTGGGGCAGTGTTCCCCTGGCATGGGGGGCTGGCTCTGACCGGGGCTGGCCCCACAGATGTCCCCGAGCTGCGGGCTCTGATCGGGGAGGTGGCGGCAGAGCAGCTGGAGCGCAGCGGGAGCRATGATCCCCGCGGGGTCTCGGCTGCCCTCCGCGTGTGCTTCACCCGCCTCATGAAGAGCGAGAAGAAGTTCTTTGTGGACCAGCTGAACATGCTGGTGAAGAGGATCTCCCAGGAAGGTGGGTCCTGGCTGTGACACCCCAAATCGGTTCGGGGGCTGTGTTTAGGGGAGCGGCCGAGGTGCCCCCAGCTCCCTCCCCATGTCGGGCCTGGTCTCTTCCTGCACAGCGGCGGAAGGGAAGGACACGTCAGGGAGCAACGGGGACCTGCTRCTGCGGCTGCACTCACAGTACCCCGGGGACATCGGCTGCTTCACCATTTATTTCCTGAACCTGGTGAGGCTGGAGCCGGGGGAGGCCCTGTTCCTGGGAGCCAACGAGCCCCACGCCTACCTGCACGGAGGTGAGTGTCAGGGGGCTTTCCTCACCCAGGGGCAGGCTGTGGGAACRGGGCAGGGCTGCGGTGAGCTGACAGCCCTGCCTGGACCCTGCAGACTGCGTGGAGATCATGGCGTGCTCGGATAACACGGTGCGCGCCGGGCTCACGCCCAAGTTCATCGACGTGCTCACCCTGTGCGAGATGCTCAACTACACCCCAGCACCCAGCAGCTCCAAGATCTTCCCGGCTGCRCAGAGCCAGCTCGATCCCAACGTCTACCTCTATGACCCGCCCGTGCCAGACTTTACCATCATGAGGATAGAGGTGAGTGGGGACACATCTGTGTGGGCTCCACTTTTGTCATTGGTGCCCTAAAAAGGAGGGAGGGCTACTTGTCTCTTTATTCCTCTCCTCTTCCCTCTGCCTGGAGCTCATCACCTTCTCCAGCAGCTCGGGGCAGGGGGAGAACCTTGGGTGTCCTTACCAAGCTGAGGTCCCTGGCACCGCAAAGKGGTGGGGATGGGGACAAACCCCTTCCAGCTCTCGGGAGAGGAGGAAAGCTGAGGGAGACTGCAGCCACAGTGACATTTTCCTTGGCAGATCCCCACCTCCATCAAGCTGTACCTCATCTCTGCCATGGACTCTGCCAGCATCTTGCTGGTGATCCAAGGGACGGCYGTGGGCACCTCCACGGCCGCAGCCTCCGAGATGTCCCTGCACCGTGGCTCCGTGCTCTTCATCTCGGCCAACGAGAGCATCTCCCTCCACCTCTCCTCACCCGATGGGATGCTGCTCTTCCGAGCCTGCTGCCTCCTCTGAGCAGGWCCTGGGACACTTCCTCCACATCACTCCATCTTTGAGTAGATAGAAACTGGATTGGGCAAAGTCTTCTCACTTGAAAGATTTCTTTCCACCTATTAAATCCCAGAACCAGCCCTGATGTATAGAAAGTGCGATTCCATGGATCAATTCCTTGGACGTGGCACAGATCAGGGCAGGTTTTGTGAGGCTTTCTGCTGCTTCTGGTGGGCTCTTCCCAAGCTGGGCTGACAGCAGCCGGTGTCACCCTTCTCTGGCTGTAAAAGGGGGCTGCGTTGGGGGGCTGATGCAGCAGGAGAGCCTCTGGTGCTATGAATAAAGAGGTGACTTTGTTCCTGGCAAAGGGCAGCATGGTGGGGGGAGCAGGAGGATGTAGGGGGCCAGAGGAGAGCCTGGGAGCAGCTCCAGCATTCCCCCCAACACGGACTGTACCCCCTGTTGCTCCTCAGGCACAGGAAAGAGGTAAAAAAATGTGATGAAGGAAAACAGAAGTCGCCCATAGCACCAGCACCCGCTCTGAGTAATGAGATCCAGTTTATTGAGTSCTCCCTTTTACAAAGTAAAATACAAAAACAGACAGACAAACGTGCCCCCTCCCCCCCAGCCCAACCCATTCATGTCTCTCGACATGAAATATTTAAATAAGGTTTCTGTAAAGAAGCTGATTGTCCTCTGTGTCATGGAGCAGGACCGTGGTTTAAGGCAGCGTTTATGGTTTGCAGGAAGGAGGCTCCCCAGCCCCCCAAATCAAGCCCTGTGTGGAGCTGGTTACGGGGGGTCTGGGCTGTGCCTCACCTGCATCAAAGCAGCATTGAGGAGAATGGGAGCAAGCCTAGCTCCAACCCCAGATACTCCCAAATCTTTCCCTTTGTACCCCTATGGAGGTGCTGGACTCTGCCTCTCCWCCTTCCCCACCCCAGCCACAGGCCAGGTCCCATCCAAGTCACCAAAACATCTCTGTGCCACCTCTCCCTGATATTGCTGAGTGTAAGGAAAAGTCCTTTGGGGTCAGTTGGTCTCTGCCACGAGCAGCATCATTCAGTCCTTGTGTCACCGTTCTGGCGTGGGACACCCAACAGCCATCCCACGGAACAGAGAAAGTGCTGGATTTTTGACCTGTTCTTGTGCAGCTACTGGATCACACAGGAGAGATTTTCTCCAAAACAACAGGGGCAGGAAGATGAGGTGACGGGTTTTGGGGGGATGAGATCCAGGTCTTCGTCATCAGGGACCTCGTCGAGGTGATACCCGTCCTGCAGCAGCTGCCGGCTCAGGTCCTGGTTCACCTGCTGCGGGGGACAAACGGGGCTCTGCGGGATGGACACACATCCACACTGCCTGGGGTGAGCCTTCCAGCCCCTGGCCAGAGCCTCGAGGGGTCAGGGGAGCGAGGTGGGGACCCCGCAGTGTCAGAGTCAAACCCTGCACTTGCCTCRGCGGAGGAGTATCCTGAGGAACACCTGGATCCCAGCTCCCCGTCACTGAGGGAAAAAGGAAACAGAGCTGGCTAGGAAATGGGGGCTTGGGGATGCAGATAAGGGRAATTCAGGGAGGAAAAGGAGCTGGCAGTGTAAACCCAAGGGATATTTGAAATCAGGGACAACAGGAGCATTTCGCTGCTCTGAGGTGCCCGGTGYCATTGGGGATGTTCTACAAGTGACAAAAATCAACCCCACAAAAAAGCCAGCTGTGAGCACCCTCACCCTCAAAATGGTGGGATATTCACTCAGAATACTGGGATATTCACCTGTCTGAGTCAAGGGAGACCAGGTTTTCATCAGCAGTCTGGCTGAGCGCCGTGTAGCCCTTGTTAAACTTCACCGACCTGCTGGGAAGCAGAGGAGTGAGACCAGCAGAGATGTTTTATGTGGAAACACATCCTTGGAGCTGATGGGCTGAGGAGCCAGGGCAGAAATCCCACTTCTTTCCAGCCTGGCAGCGTCCAGGGCCACCAGCTAAACCCCAGGATACCCAAATAAATCTGTACCTCCAAATCATCCCCAAAATAAAAGACAAAAACATTTTATCATACTGGATGTTCCTGGCTAAACAGAGCCAGCAGAATAAGATCCCAAACTCTTATTTTTAATCCTCTGAGTTTCCCAGTCTCCCCATGAAAAGTGAAAAATGCATTTTGGGAATAGGAAGAGGAGATCAGACCTTTTAGGAGTTGGTTTCAGGRCGGTGCGTCCCCCCAGCAGCCCCTGCCTTCGCAGCGCTGCCTTGGCCAGCTCCCGCTGCCTCTCTGAAAGCCAAGCACAGGGACAGAGATAAAAACTCCCAAGTGCTCCCAAARGATTTATTCCTTTGGGGAATGGGTGAGGAGGGTGTAGCAGCTGAGCGTGGGGGCAGTGCAGTGCTTTGCAAAGGCATCTCTATGGGGTTTTAATGATTTTTTTTATAAAGGTTTTATCCCACCAAGAAATAAAAGGGCTTTTAGTAACTGCAGCCCTGAGAGAGAGGTGGAAATGACTCCCGAAATCCCAGCAGAGTCCTCCAAGCATCACTTACTCAGCTTGGCCTGAATGGAAGGAGGTTTGCTCATGATGTATGGACCCCTTTTCTCCACCACATCTGTCCCCTTGTTGAGCTGCTTCTTCTCAGCCCAAATCAGCTGAAAAAAAAAAAAAAAAAAGTGAAAGAAGCCCATTTAGCATCTCTCCATGGGGATGCAGTAWAGCAGAGTCATGTTGGAGCATCTGATCATTCCTGGGAGCTCAAGGTCGGCAGGGAAATCTGTCCGCAGGTCAGTGGTGAGGGACAGCTCCTCCTCCCCAGCCTGGGAGGAGGGAGAGGAAAAGGAATAAGCAGATCTGTTAGCAGATGAAAGGATTATTTGGGAATAAAATTAAAAGCACAGCTAGTSACCAGAAGTTCCTGTGCCAGCCTAGCTGCAGTAATACTTGGGAAAAGGTGGTGGAGGAGATTTACTGAGAAGTCAGTCAAATACAAATGTGAGGATRGTTTCTTTTAAATTCTCTGCAGGGTTTGAGCATTTCAAGCTTCTTCTTCTGTCCAAGTATTGTCAAGGAGAACCAGCACTCCTAAGGGCAAGGGGGAGGAAAAAACCTCCAAAAMCAGGGAAAATGAAGAAAATAGAGGGAAAATCAGAGAGAGTGGGCGCAGGAAGGATGGGGAATTAAAGGACCGAGGCAGAGGACTTGGGATGGTGATTGGAGAGCACAGCCAGGATTAACCTCTGTGTCTTAAGCCAGAATTAGCAGGAGAGAGCCTTATCATGGGAGCCTTATCAATGGTGCAGGCAGCGGCCCCCAGATCCCTGCGGCTATGCCACAGCCCTCGCTGGCCAGGGATGCTGTGCTGGTGATGCTGTACGCACCTCTGTGTGTGTATGTACATATAKATTTGTATACACACACATGTATTATATATACATTGTATACAGCCTGTGCCT